GAGGCTTGAGGAGGGGCAGAGAGGGACCTGTGCTCTGCAGGGGGCTTTTATACTGTCTGGGCGGGTGCATGGACACCTGACTTAATCTAATCAGTGTATGCATTTGCGTTTCCTATAAACACTCTCTCTCTCTTTTTCTTATTTTGGTAGAGACCTGTTGCCCAGGATGGTCCTTAACTCCTGGCCTCAAGGGGCCCTGCAGCCTGGGCCTCACAAAGCACAGGGATTACAGTCGAGACCTGCCCCACCCAGCACTAAACAGCTCTTCACAAAATGCACTCTAACTGCATACTGACCACGCAAAAGCATTTAAAATGTGTATGTCACCCGCATGACTTCAGGAATGCATGTTTTCTGTCAGATCAACGAACATTTGTGCATATCTCATTTTTTGCTGGTAAAAGAAGCCTATGCAAATGTGCTGCCTTAATGACATTCTGTGTGGATTTCGGCCTCCAGCCCCTTCACCCCGAGGTGCAGCCGTCCGCTTCCTCCAGCTCAGATCTTCTCATCTTCCCCAACCTTCGTTCTGTGGCCAACGAACACGAACTCCACACTTTTCCCTCTCGGAAGCCCTTGGAAGCTGCCATTCTCCTTGATCTCGCCATGATTTGGACTGGCTACTTTTTGACCTCCACTTGTGACTCCACGAATTGTTCCTCAGACGTCTCCAGATACATACATGAAGCGTTGTTCTGTCAGTTTTGCCGTCCTTTCTGTTTCTTTGTGTGGCTGCCTTGGCTGTCTGTCGGAACCTCATGTGGGCTGATATTTGTGCTCTTAACCATTTGTCTGCCACTTGTCCTCTGCAAATAGACAATTTCGGGCGTATTTCTCTTTCATGGGAAGGGAGAGAGAGGCGTGGAAATGCCGAAGCATCACATGTGTGCCTTTCCAGATTTCGTCCAAGTCACCACATTGTTCTAGGAAGCTTTAAGCCAGTCACACACCGAGGCAAACTTGAGGAGAGTCTCAGTTTCTCCATATAGTTTCCTTGTTTGGTAGTGTCTTATTCCATGAATTGTACTTATTTGGATTTTATTCCTTTTTCATCTGCCTTTCAGTAGTTATGTAGGAATTATTTAGAAAATATGATTCCCAACATTATGTTACTTATCTTGCATTTCCTCACGATATTCTTTTCTTAGATGCTTTCTGATTATTTTCCCTTAGGCTGTGCATTACTAGAATGTATGTTTCTGCATTCCAGATACCGATACTTTATATTGGATGTAATCACAAATATCCGCTTCCATTTTGTAAATGATCATAAATTCTCATATTATGAGAGATTTCCTATTTCATGTAGGTTTTTAGCATTTTCCTGACATTGCATATATTATAAATTGAAGCATGTTTCCCCTCACAATGAAAGCATAATTGTTTTCATGTAACTGTTCTAATGAATGACTTTATGTTTTCCAGTTGTTTAAATGTCCTTTTATGCATCCAGCTTATATTCACGGCAATCATAAAAGTCGGGGGAAAGTAAATTGATTTCTAACCAGGATAAGTGTGTGCTGCCTTACCTCCCTACTGATGGGCCAAGCCTTTCAGTATCTGTTGTATGAGAAGGTCTCATCAGTTATTCTACATCACAGAACTGGGGGTTTATTATAGTTCCACTTCCATCTTCTCTCTGTTACCATGTTATTGTAGTCTTTCTTGGCAGCTCGTAGGGGAAATCCCTTCTGCTGATGTCGTTGTTCAATTTTGCAAACACAATCTGCTCCCTTGTTGACTCGTCATCTGTTGGGTGTGTTTGGAACCCACTGAATTGCACATTTGTTAAAGGGGAATGTATATTTGTATATTTTTTATACATATGTGCAAATGGTCACTTCTTCAGATGTCATGACATTTTAGCCTGGAATATTTCATATCATTTTCGTCAAGTTCCTCAAAGGCCTTCCTACATACAGGATGTAAAGCTATCTATTTTATCAATTGGAATTATATCCAAATGGCACATTTTGGGTAGATTGATATTAGACCCATGATGTTGAGGAGATGTAATTGGTTGAAACGACTTGTTATTTCTGAGAGAGTTTTAGTTATTTCACTGTCATTTGCTACATCGGCAATCATATCACCAGCTGATACCAAAAATACTGAGATTTTTCTTTGTACCCCACTAATGCCGTTTGTCTCAGAGCACTGGCAACGTGTGCAGCAAGCAGTATGTCACAGAAAAACAAAAGTGTGGGCCTTGTTATCAGTGTCTCTCTCTGTTAAGGCAGGGTGGTTTTACTTAAAAGCATCATGCTTGCTGAAAGAATGTGTAGTCTTTGGTAATCTGCATTTTTAGCAAGTAGGATTAATATTCTTAATAGTTAAAGTGTTCATCTATTCAGTTTTTCAAGTACCCCCATACACCTTAAATGTCATAAATTGCAGTCTTTCTACCTTTCAGAGTTAAGTAATAATCAAATATTATTATTTTTTATCAATATTTTTATTATGGTTTTGTGGGGTACAGTTAAGGGTTAGGTGTACAATTACGTTTCATTCAGGCACCCTGTTGATAAGAGGGGTTTCCCCATCCCCAGACAGATATTTGCTACTATTCATCCCATCCTCCTTCTCCCCCCCCATTGTTTCCCAGTACCATCAGTCATTTTCTTATAGTATTACATTGGATGTTCAAGGTCCATTATATGAGTGAGAACATGTGATACTCGGATCTTTGTTTCTGTGAGAGGTCACTCAGTATTATAGACTCTAGTTCCATGCAGGTTGTTGCAAAATTCATGATTTTGTTCTTTTTTATGGCTGCGTAGTATTCCATCGTGTATATGTACCACTTTTTTTAATCCAGCCCTCTTTTGATGGACAGCATGGTTGTTTCCAGGTTCTTGCTATTGTGAACAACGCTGCGATAAACATACGTGTGCAGGTATCTTTTTTAGAGAGTGATTTGAGTTCTTCAGGGTATATTCCCAGTAGGGGGATTGCGGGGTCATATGGGAGGTTGAGGTTTAGAGCTTTTAGGAATCGCCACACTGCTTTCCACAGAGGGTGCACTAGTTTACACTCCCACCAACAGTGTAGAAGTGTTCCCTTTATTTTTTGTGTTGTTGATAATTGCCATTCTGCTTGCAGTTAGGTGGTATCTCAGTGTGGTTTTGATTTGCATCTCCCTGATGATTAGTGAGGTTGAACATTTCTTCATGTGTTTGTTGGCTGTTCGG